CATAAGTTTGACTGCCAAGTTTTACACACCTGCTTTGGGAGCATACTGTGTAAAAATGTGAATATCTGCTTGCTCAAATGTGGCCAAAATAAAGGACAAAAATATTGCACTAAAATATTTTGAGGTTAACAGAGGAGCAGTGGAATCATGTGGGCTTTGGTGTTTGGACAGTCAGAAGCAGGTGGAATATAAGATGTCCTCCCATGACTCCAAAGAATACAGACTCACAAAAACATAAGAAAAAAGTTTGGCACAGAAACATTACAATAAAACACATTTAGCAAAATACAATGGCATTAAAAATCCATTTGTGGAATAGAGTCTTGTCATTTGGCCTCAAGCAAATCTTAAAAGGAACACAGATAATTTTAGAACATTTTTCAAGGCTATTATTGCAGATCAAATGTGGCCATTGTGATGGTAACATTTGAATAATTTAGCATTAGTCATTAGTGAGTTGATTTATTAATAGAACTTTTGCTTAAAAATGAAATTAAACGCCATTTGGAATGAACCCAAAAACTTGACAACACTTTCAGATTTGTAGTGCGGCGTTGCATTCTGTCAGTGTGCTCTTGGGCAAAACGCTTCACCCACTTTGTGTGTTTAAATTAATTTGAAACATACAATCAGATGTGAGTAGAGTAGCAAAAATGTACATAAGTGGGAGTACAGTTACTTCAAAATGATACAGTACAAAGTAGTAATCCAAGAAATTATTAAAGTAAGCATAACTATCTATGGTTTATAGTTTATTTAATTTTAAATCATAAACAAAATTTTGTATTATCAAAGGAGAGACCACAAAAGTGAAAAAACTGCATCATATCTGAAGGAACAATGTAAGAAACACAAATTCAAACTGATATCACTTAATATTGTCAACATAAATCTTTTGTCACTCACAACCAAAACTTTTACTCAAGTAAGAGTACTGTATACTGAGTAAAAGTATGACACAAATAGTACAAGTTACTCAAGTACATTATAGCTTGACTAAATATAACTCTACTCTGTGCATAATTGGCTCATATTAGGATTCATTGGCGTTTTCTTGTGTATCTTAGTGCGTCTTTGAGCTGCTGTGAAAGCCATTAGCTCTCAGACCAAGGGCATCACTTCAGGGAGTTCTCCGTCTCCAAAGACAGTCATCCTCTTCTGCTAGAACTATCAATGTTGACACACAAACTGTCTGAGCAAGCAAAAACACACACCACATGCTATTCGGATGTAGGACTCAATGTGTAGGATTACTAACGCATCAGTACACCATAACTCTTAACCTTGTGAGAAAGTGCTTTTTCACTTGTGGCCTTGAAGTATATTTATATGCACCCGCTTTTGGTGGACCAGCGTTTTGTGAGTCATTCAACAATATTTGTGGGTTAGGTGGTGGCAGTCTTAAGTTTCATTTTATTTTTTCACTGTCCTGAGAAAGTTGAGTTCATGTTTGGATGGTTGGATGGTTGGATGGTTTGCAGTTTCACTGAGCATTTGTTAGGTAGCTGCTAACTCTTACAGGGCCCATATTATGCTGTTTTCTGTTATAATGTTGTTTCCTCATCATATGTTTTACACATAAATCCTGCATATTTACGCTGTGTTCTTCTCTGAAATGGAAAACACTCTGTTCCACCTTGTGATGTCATGTGGCAATACAGGAAGTGCTCCACATGGACCATTTCAGTAGCCAGGGTGGTGCCACCTAGTGCCTCCACTCAATTTCTTTTCTCTCCAGCGACTAGATCAGGAATCAGAATACACTAGACGGTTTGCAAGAACCCCGGAAGTTGTAGACCGCGCACCGGCCAATCAGCAAAGAGCTGAACCAACCCAAGTTGCAATAGCAGACTGCATACGCAATCCTCTTTTGGGCTTTCTTTGTCAAATACAAACTTTGCATTTTTTATTGCACCTTTAATTCACAAGTTCACTTCACAGAAAGGACTCTGCTTTATTTGCTGTTATGCCAGCAGTTACTTGGACACCACTGAGCATTCCAGCACATTACATACATCATGACCAAATAGCAGCGATTGATTAAATAAAAAAAGTAACTGTCTATCGTCGAACGAACGAATCCTAATGCTGCGAGGTCAGACGGTTTCCAGTGAAGTGAAACCAGCCGATGAATGAGCCTACCATTTCAATGTCAATCTCTAGTAAACAAAATGCAAAGGTAGCTGTTAATTTGCAAACTAGCACAGAGCATTTTGAGCTTTGAAGATGTAGTCAGACACCATTACTCAAACGTGTGAATGAAACAAAACACAACTTCAGGTATGTTAGTGATGAGGAAACAACTTTATATCATGGATCAGAAAATAGTGATAGTAATATGGGCCCTTTAACATTGAATACTTGTTAACTATAGCTTGTTAACTATGGTTGAGAATTAGTTCTGTTGGATCTATGCTTCAGATTCACAGTTTTTGTCAATGTCATATTTTTGCTGACTAAAAATAAATCAAAAGTTATCATAATGATAAAAAGCATCAAATAGGCTCAGGACTGTACCCAGGCCTTTGCAGGCACAAGGACACACGGAGCTGGACAAAGACAGGGGAGATTAAGAGATGAAGCGTCTGTGTGGATAAGATGCAGCAGCAGTGGAGGAGCAGGTACAGAGAGGGGAGGGGGGTAGGACACAGGAGGAAGGGCGGGTCTGTGTGAGGGGAGGGCGGTAGGACACAGGAGAGAAGGGCAGGTCTGTGTGTTCTGATGAAAAGTGCCGCCCTCAGCAGACTCACGTAAAGAAACAGGATTAGCGCGCCTCCAGGACAGGGTGGTGGGAATGCAGATGACGGATCGCCGTGGTTCTGAGCAAGGCCCCACACCAAGAACAAGACGAGAACTCACACTATCTTCACTACTACTGCAGAGGGCATCCGATTTTAAACTTTGGGTTGCCAGATATGCATCACGGAGTCATTCATTTAGGTGTTAAGTATGAAGGTCCGAAGTTGACTCTTGTGAGTTTTTAGCCATGTTACCTCCTCAAAAACGTACTTGGAGTTGATTCATTCCCACAGGTTTGAATAACCATTTATTATTAATCTGTCTACATCTTCAAAGCTCAAAATGCTCTGTTCCACCTTGTGATGTCATGAGGCTGTATTTTTCAAGTTAACAGCTCCTTTTACCTTTTGTTCCATAGAGATGGGCAATTCCAGGACTGCAATTGTCCATATGATTCTAGAGAAGGTGTATGTTTAAAAACACAGTGGAGCACTTCTTGTGCTAGCACGTGGCATCACAAGGTGGAACAGAGTGTTTTCAGTCTAAATATGGAGAATTTGTGTGTTGTATGAATGACACAACTCCAGGTATGTTTCTGTTTCTGAACATTATAACACAGGTCAGAAAACAGCACTATATAGGCCCTTTAAAACATTTTCTTATTGTGTCCCATTTCTTACACTGTGAAATAAACTCAAAATAACTTGGGCCCCATCCACACTAGTATGTATTCGAGTCGTTTTAGTTGCGGACGCAGTGTTCGTCCACACTAATCCGATGCAAAACGGCTCTAGAGACGGAACGGTCTGGGGCTGTCAGCTCCCACAAATCCATCTGAGTACGGATCTAATCTGGCACTGTGTGGACGCCTGAAAACGTTGGTACGCTGACGTAGGTCTATGCACCATGACGTAATTCACCACCAAAACGCTAAGAGGCTAGAATATATGTCAGTTCATAAATACGGTCTATGCATATGACCTAATCTCTGAAAAGTTTAACATGAACCATCTCCAACGTGATAGAAGCACAGAACAGACTCACCATTAGCACAACACCCGTCTGTCATAGAAAAAACACATATAATCCACTGAGTCGTGTCTTTTTAAGTCCGACTGAACCGCATCAGCGCACAAGGAGTGAGCTGTTTTTTGAGCGCTCAGTTTGTGCAAATTAGCCATGTGGTTTTAAGTTTTGTTTTTGTAAAACATAAACAAATATGCGCAAATCGTTTCCGATACAGTGATACAGTGATACATTGATTCGTTTCAGTGTAAACGTAGCCCCAGTTTATGGTGACAATGAATGCTTTTACAAAAAAATTTTATTTAGGACTTTGGATTGACTAAAAGTTTACTTATGCTGTTACAAATCACAAAAATTAGATCAATAAAATATGGAGGTTTTGTACTCAGAACGTGAAGTATAGATATGATACTAATAAAACACTGTAGTTGAACAATGCCTCACAAAACTGCACAATTATGCAAAACTGTCAAAAATTATGCAAAAGTTGTTTACTGATGATCCTGATTATAGAACTTAAAAATGTAAATTGCTCAGATTTTAGAAGAAAAGTTGAGTCATTTAAATAAGTCAAACTCCAAAAGGTCAACCTAAATACATAGTGATTTTTATATGACTTTTCATACTGTCATATTAAAGGTACACTATGTAACCTTTTGGCTGAGGGTCCCTCACCACCTTTACTATACATTTATTTAATTAGAGTTGGTTTTATAGGTCAAAAATACCTAAAAAACAGACATTCTGACTGTGAGCAAGGTTGCCTCTCCACAGATCTGACCTCTAACTTGATCTGGTTTGGTCCATGGAGATAGAAAAAGTTTAATGCCATACTGTGAAACATTCAGAACAAAGCAATAACATCTCCATGAAGAAAAGCATTTGAAAAGTTACACAGTGCACTGTTTACTTAATCATTTTATAATGCTGATCTCAAACTAGAGACGTGGTAATTTACTGTGAATTCCAGTGTTGTTTGGTGTCAGTAATCGAGAATAATCATAAAAAATATCTATAATAACAATAGCAACACCAAAATTTCATATGGTACCATCTCTGCTGCCCTGCAAAACCAACTCACAGATGACAAATGCACACAAACAAAAACTCATTTTTCACTGTCATTTTCTCTAAAGCTTATTACACCAGTATTGACTTAATTCCTGCAGCCTTATAATTTAATGAATAATTGTATTTGTTTTATATACTTCATCTTCTTCTCTCCTTTCTTACAGACTGGCATGGCGTTAACATATGACCCAGCTGCAATGCAAAACGGGTAAGTGAGAGCTCCCCATCTGTCTCTGGCACCTGCTAATGTACTCCGCTCTTGGCCATAGGCGCCCAGTCAATACAAGTGTCATACATAAAGACGAATGGACTGTCTGCACTTTGTTACTGTTTGATTAAGAGCTTCTGTGTGGGCTCTTTTTGTGTCTGCGTCTTAATGGTGCACTTGAAATGAATGGGCAAGAAACTGTTTTATTTTTCCCAGTTGTGTTGAGACAGGAAGCAGGAAGCCCCCACCCTGCCCCTGACTTCCTCAACGGCCTAACCTCCATTGAACAGCATTAGTGCGAGGCCCACAGGAAAGCTCTTGTGTTTAATAATGCCAATTTTTATGCAGTATTTCCACATTTGTGTGTTAAGAATCATTCCAGCTATTTTTCTCCTAAAATGCCCATGTGTTATATAAGTACAGTACTACACATGTTAATTTAAAGCCTAAATAGGTTAAAGATCCTATATTACTCAAACTCTTGTGAGCTTTAAACCATGTTACTGTTGTTACCTCATCCAAAATATACCTGGAGTTGTGTTTTGTTTCATTCACATATTTGATGTTATTAGATTCTTTTTTCAAACTAAGAGTTTGTTTTCATACCTGACAGTTTTGACTGCTCACTAGCGCTTTTCGTGATGTTGCTGTGACATGTACAGTCAGCTGATTTATACAGATTTTGGCACTGTTTTCCTACCGGTGGAGGCAGGATGACGGCGCCATCTGCAGTCTGACTTCCTCAGGACAGTATCCCAGGTGTGTGAGACTAAAAAAGCCCCCTCGTCCTGGTTTGTATGGATGGAGCAAACATCATTGGGACAGAGGAAAACAAACACTGTCTCTTAATTAAAGAGGCAATCAAAATCCGGAAACATGCCCACGGGACTATAAGCCGGGACGAGGGGGCTTTTTTACTCTCACACACCTGGGATACTGTCCTGAGGAAGTCCGACTGCAGATGGCACCGTCATCCTGCCTCCACCGGTTGGAAGACAACGCCAAAATCTGTAAAATCAGCTGACCAGACACGTTACAGCAACATCACGTGACCACTCTGAGGAAGCAGTCAAAACTATCAGGTATGAAAACAAACTCTTGGTCTGAAAAAAGAACCGATAACATAAATCGTCAGAAGACCAAATGAACCTCTCTGGACACACATGTTTGAGCTATTCTTTAGTATTAGTCTGTCTGCATATCCAAAGCTCAAAATGCTCTGTTCCACCTTGTGATGTCATGAAGAATTTTTTCAGTTTGGGAGAAGGACACAACCTAAATATGCAGGGTCTGTGTGTTTAAAATGTGTGAATTAAAGAAAACACAACTCCAGCTATGTTTTTAATGAGAAAACAACATTATAACACAGATCAGAAAATCATGTAATATGGGCCCTTTAATACTGTGGATAGGTAATCCTTAACAAACCAGGCACAAGATTAAAATTCATTCATGCAAAACATTGCAACATTATTGTATTTTCCACCAATATCCGCGTTTACCTGGACATGCACTTCAACCCATGTTGGTGGTATAGAGACAACTGCGCTCTTCAACAGTGACAATACACACTGGTTTAATGTAACATCATAAACCACACAATGTATCCAAAACTATGAACTATATCTTCTTCTGTTTCTTAAGCTCCCCACACATTCTTGCATCTATAACAAGACGAGAAAGTAATACTAGTCCTATTTTACACTGTGACAGCTCAATTTGATGTGATAAAACTCAACTCTTCTGTAGAGAGCACTATAACGCACGTCGCACAATATCAAACTTTTATGTGGAGTGAAAAATGCAATATATAGGGCCATCGTTTTTCTGAGCATAATACAGAGAAGATACGGAGTCAGAGTTTAGGAGTGCCAAGAATGTCTGTGAGCGCAAAACACTGTCCGGTCTACTTAATACTATATCTGCAGGGAAACAGGCTCAGGGGTTAGAGCAGGGGTCTCTCAGCCCAAAGTTCAGAGGATTGATTCCCAAGTTGTTGTGTCCTTAGGCAAGGCACTTCACCCTTATTCCTTAGTATGAAATTGGTGTCTGTGTGAGCATTTTGAGAGGCTTTGATAAACCTGTACTGGCCTTTTTTTTTTTTTTTTTATAGAAGAAGCTGGATTTTTTTTCAGTGTTTTTCATTTCTGACAATACACCAGTTTAGTTTCAGTTTTGAAGTGATGTGGGAAAGTGTGAAAACAACTTTTAAAGACCGCCCTATAAGATAACCATATCACAGGGCTGCTCAATTATTATTTTTTAGGTACATGATGCATTTATTCAGCATTTGTCTCTCTCTCAAAAAAAACCCAAAACACTTTCTTATTGATAATTTACGCAAAAATTTCAAATTGAAAATAAATATAGGCTACAAATATGAACAGAGCAGTTAGAGCAGTTTTGCAATTTATAAAACATAAAATGAAGAAAATCTCTATATTTAAAAAATAAAATTAATATACTTATTTATATAACAAATATCCCAAAATAAACATTTTTAAGCTTACCACATTTTTTGGACTATAAGTTCGCTCTGGAGTATAAGTCGCATGAGTCAAAGATGCGTAATGAAGAAGACCAAAATATATCGCACTTTTTGGGAGAAATTTATTTTATAAAATCAGAGATCAGGAACCGACATTTCCTCTTGAAAGGCAAGTTACAGCAATAACTATAGAACAGAGGACAACAAGCTGAATAGGCGTCTAGTATATTAACGCCACATATTTCTTCAGATAACTATAGTATAAAAAACAGAACAGAACAAGTTTACCAGACTCTCCATCTCACTCCAGTTCCAATTAGAATTATGGTGCACCCTCCCGGTTGCCTTGAAGTTGTGTTCTCCATCTCCGCTTTCCGCCAGTGCCTCACAAGTTTCTCACTCACTCCAAACTTTCTTTCTGCTGCTAAATTCAGCTGCATATTTCAGCAGGACAGCGGCTTTTTCTGCATTAGAGACGTGCAGTAGAGCGAAGTGACAGTGGTACAGGAGTAGCAGATACTCTCTCAGCTCTTAGTGTGAAAATTTTAATATATAAGTTGCACCGGAGTAAAAGTTGTCATGAAAAAAGTGCAACTTATAATCCAAAAAAAATGGTATATAGTTTGGTGATCGTTTGACACACAAAATTGAAATTGCGATCAGAATTTGATTAATTGCACGGCCTTACCACATCACATTAAAGATGCATAATCTAATTATTTTGGTCAAGAGCCTGGACAAGCACTTGACACCACAAGGCCAAGTTGCAGGTCAGGTATCCATTTGAGCATCTTAAATAAATTATTTTTAAATTAAAGCAAAACTGAAGATAACACACTTAAAGAAGGAGAAAGTTAGAAGATGGCGGGACAAAGGTTGTATCAAGAGCATACTGTGGCCAAGTATATTGTTGTTACTCTCTATGTAAATCATTCTTTTATTTACTGTTCTGCGCAAACCTTGAACACCTGTTGACGAAATATATCTTCATTTGCAGGTTCTACTCTTCGCCTTATAGCATCGCCACCAACCGCATGATCGCGCAGACCTCCATCACGCCCTTCATCGCTGCTTCCCCCGTCTCCACATATCAGGTGAGCGCTACACAATCATATCTGTTACATCTACACACAACGCGGCGCTATCAGGCTGTTTACGTCTATAGTGTAATGTAAATAGTCAGCTATAGGAGCCAGGGCCATTCTTTGCTTTCATCATCATTCAGCGCTGTCTCCAGCTGTGTGGGATGACATGTATCGGGGGTGGTAAACACAACACAACAGAAAAATGGCTGACATTGAAGATCAGATAGTCCGTCTATGCAGTTTCTTGCCCTCTTTCACAGCGGGGTCTTTTTCAAATTTTATTGTATGTTTTCAGCTCCTCATCAGAAAAGTGAGTTTGAGTATTTTATGTGTATGATAATGTATTGGTAATGAGTTCATCTTGTGGGATATTGGTAGTGCTGACTCGGTTATTCAAATATTGCTCTAGATAGCTAAATGCTGATGGAAAATTAATGCATGCTTTGACTGCTTTCTTATTTACTAATTTATCCCCAGTGGAAATTGAAATTCTTATAGCGCATTAAACATTCAGTCATACCTTCCTAATGAACAAAATAAAGACTTCGATTGTTATTTTGAATGGACAAATTATTTAAAATTACAAGGTTAATAGAGTTGCATTGTATTTACATTTCATTAGCCTCACAGAATTTTCTTCAAGGCTTTCGGGAAAATACAAAAATGAACTTTGTCAATAACTGTACAGAGGATGATTGGAATGATTTTAAGTTTGTTATGAATATGCATGAATTGTATTTGTTATTTAATTGTTAAGTAATCAGGAAAGTTAATGCTGTAGCGTGGTTTTATACTTTTAATGGAGCCCAGAAAGACTAGTTAATGGGGCTACAAATAAATAAATAAGGTTAGAGGTCACGGTTCGGTTAATTTTCAGTACAGTATGGGCACAAAATCTAAAACCATTTGTGTTTTTATTAAACCAACAATTAGTTTTAACATTATACAAATGGGGAAAATAAAATAAATGCAAAGTTCCGCTTGGTAATAACAATAAGTAGGGATGTAACGATATCCAAATCTTGTTATACGATATTATAACGATATGCGTCTCACCGTACGATATTTATTGTGATATTTCGGAGAGGCTAATATAATTGTAGATAGAAAACTTTTTTGTTTTTAAAATACCTTGACAAGATTTTGGTGTGAATTATTTCCATCATAATCCCAAGAATCCAAGTAAAAGAACATATTTCTTCATGTTGTTTGCACTGAAATGAATCATGGGATATGTAGTTCCCTATGTTCATAAGCTGTTGCTACTGTAAAACCATGCATTTAAGCAAAGGAACTTGTAATTTGATATACTGTGACAGCCCTTGAGACTTTTGACAATACAATATCATGGTATTTCGATTATTGCTACATCCCTACTATTGAGTTAAATAAAATATTCTCAAATAAGCAACAAATGTTTGAAATATTATAAAAAATGAATTCCTTGTAAACAGTAAACAAAACTTTTCAAAAAGTAAAGCGCAGCACTAACAGTTCCAGCATGAAGTTTTACTCAATCTTCATATTTTTGGCCAGAAAAAAAACAACTTGTCCACATTGTCTGCAGTAAGTGCAGATCTGCCGGCAATTACAACATCCCCAGCAATTGAAAATACACTTTCGCTAGGAACAGAGGTCACAAACTCACTCGTGCACAGCCCTGCACCGAACCGAACATCCTGAACCAAAACAGTTCAGCACGAAAACATGTACCGTTACACCCCTAATAAGTATAAATAAATAAATATATAAATAAATTATAAATAAATAAATCAGTTCCAGTGACACTGACAGATGCAGCAGGGTCTGAAGAGTGGAATAAGACAAAAAACAAAATTTCTAAATTTTAATTCAGTTATGTTATGAGGCTGTGGATTTGGAAGTTGAGAGTTTTTATTTCATTTTTGTACTCCCCCTTTGTAATTTTTTATAATAACTGCACTTTTAATTGCCTTAATGAAGCATGACCAAAGGCTTAATTCATAATGAGAAAAAATATTTGTTCATTATAAAGTCTTTGTTCATGCTTTATTAGGGCTAATTACGCTGGTGACATTATAAAGTGGCACCAATAAAAGTGATATCAGCTGGATGCACAATATATAAAGACAGTAATTAAAGGTGCACTGTGTAACTTTTCGGTAGCGGGTTCACCACCTTCTTGTTTCTATGGAAATGTCATTGCTCTGCTTGGAATGTTCCACAGTATGACATAAAAAAATGACATTAAAAATTCAATTCAGTTCAAAGAAGAGAAAGGTTTAAGGAAATACTGTGACATTCCCGACAAAGCGATAACCTCTCCATGGAGAAAAGCAGGTGTCGGACCCTCCACCAGTAAAGTTTCACAATGCACCTTTAAATATATTCAATCATAGTACAGTTCAAACACACCTACATCAAAGTCTTCCCGGCTATGACCCCTCCATGCAGACGTCCCTGTCACTTACCATTAGCTGTGTTTAGTATGCAAAGACGTGCCTTCAAAACCAGCAGGGGGAATGAGACCAGGCCTGGACACGGAGACAGATGGAGGGACGACCGGGGAGCGTGGGACGGAGGAGAGGAAGCGGGGGAGAGAGAGACAGGGAAAGAGAGGAGGAGAGGAAAAGCGAGGGGGGGAGAGGAGAGTACAGGTTGTTTGGTGAAGGTTGCGATGCCCGTCTTTGAGGCATGCTTGATTAAAACTGCGGAGCGTACCTGCAGCGGAAAGAAAGAAGGGAGGGGTGGAGATATAGACAGAGGAGGAGAAAGAAAGTGGGCCAAGCAGGCAAGGTCTCTAATCTGCACTCGGAAGGCTTCCCAAATTGATTTATCAAAAACAATGACCGAGCTTTTGAGGAATATTAATACTCACAGTTTCAATATGGGCCCAGCGCTTCCTGTATTATTGCCCTTCAGGCTCTCATAGCACAAGGTGAGTCCTCCATCTCTCCTCTGAACACGCAAAGAGCACAGCATAAGAAATGACCTCTTTGTGGGATGAAAACTATTGGCTTCGTAATGAAAATCTCTAGATATGGCCCTGTGGATCATGCCTGTGCTGGTCTTTTGTCTGCGGTATCTAAGAGGCCATTTTGAGTCGTGTGCGTGAATGTTTCAAATGTGGAAATGAGCCATGCTGCTGTAGTGGCGTTTTCAGCTTCACAGAACAGGCTAATGAGTTACATTTGCTTGAATCAAACGTCTTATTAGTAATAGTTTTATCACATAATTTTATACTTTTTGTCACTGCCCATTTTGTATTGTTTCCAAAATGTGTGGGGAAAGATTTTGGTTGTATTCTTTATTTTATGTTTTATTAACTTTTCTTGTGATGTGCCACCAGAGTGACTTTAGAACAGGGATGGGCAGTTCTTCTTTCCATGAGGCCACATGAGAAACAGAAACTATTGTGGAGGGCCAGGGCAAAATACTTAACCCTATTCTGCGTATTATTCATTGTATTTCTTTATAAAAAGCAGTAAATAGTATTGTTTTGCTAACTTTGTCAGCTGATAAGACTGGTAAGAGTTTATGTTATGACAAAGCAATGAAAACATGAAGTTGCCTTAAAATTTTTACCCCTTAAATAAATGCAGCTTTAGTCCATGTATGAGGTAAAATGATAAAATAAGTTTATTTTATAATTTCAAATTAGATTAAACCAAAGTGCTGTATGTGGCTTGGGAGATGTACAATGCCCAGGTCTGACCTAGGGAGATGCTGAACTTTGCCTGGCATGTTCTAGCCGGTTTCACTTTATGGAAACCACCTGACCTCACATTAGGATTTGTTTGCTCGACGGCAGGCTTTTTTTTTTCTCTTTTTATTTATGCAATCACTGCTATTTGGTCATGACGTATGTAATGCACTGCTAAGGGGCCTAACTGGCATATTAAGCTTTTCCCAATTCCCGTAGGAAGAAGGGCAGTAACGTCTTTCCCCTTGATAAAATTCACCAAACATTCTCTTTGTTCCAACTTTAAATCCTCAATCTCAGGGATCATTGCCAACACAGAATGTCTGGTGCGTAGGTCTACAACTTCTGGGGTTCTTGCAAACCGTCTAGTGTATTCTGATTCCTGACCTAGTTGCTGGAGAAAAATTAAATTGAGCGGAGGCACTAGGTGGCACCAGCCTGGCTAGAAATGTTCCACAGTATGGCATTAAAATGTGCTATTCCGCATTTATTCACATGTAGGTCTAAAATAACTTGATCTTACTGTGAGCGAGTTTGCCTCTCCACAGATCTGACCAATAAAATGGGCTTGATAAGGTTAAAGGGCTATTTTCTGAGCTGCTATAATGTTGTTTCCTCATCACAAACAGACCTGGAGTTGTGTTTTGTTTCATTCATACATGTTTAACACACAAACCCTGCAAATTTAAGCTGAGTTCTCTCAAACAGAAAACACTTTGTTCCAGCTTGTGATGTCATGTGGTAATATATGAAGTGCTCCACTGTGTTTTTAAACTCTATACACCTTCACTGGATTAATTTGGATAATTTCAGTCCTGGAATTGCAAATCTCTATTGAAAAAAGGTAAAAAGTAAAAGGTAAAAGGTAGCTGCTATACTGTTGAACTACCACTAAGTGACACTACAGGGTGGAACAGAGCATTTTGAGTTTTGGAGATGTAGACAGACTAATAAAAAAGTGTTACTCAAAACTGTGTGAATGAAACAAAACACAACTCCAGGTTTGTTTTTGAGGAGGTAAGAGCTTTATAACATGGCTAAAAGCTCCCAAGAGTCAAATTTGCTTAATATTGGACCTTTAATATACCGTGAAACACTCCAGAAATAGCAATAATAATAATAATCAGTAAAGTTGATTGAGCTTGCTAAAAGAAAGCCAACTGACGTAACACTTCCCAAATTATTCTATGTTTCTTAGCAACCTGAACATTAAGGCATCTTGAGTTCTTATTAATTGGCAGTGACAATAACTACATAAACACAATTCTGTTTTCCTACCAGTCTCTACCTTAGCTTTATTTCCTTGGACTGCTCCACATAACATGAG